ATAATAAATTCCCCTGCTTAAAGAAACCTTTAGGCTACCAATTGGTATTATAACATAACATGAGTCCGCCAAGTCACAAACGAGTACTGCTGTATTTATATTAATTTTTGTTTAAGTTTTTATTGTAGATTTTTCATAGTTTTTCTATTTATTTTTCGTGAATAAATAAAAATATATTATTACAGCTTTGCAGTGATTCTTAAAACCTGTATCCTAATAAAGCCAACTCATTAAATCAAAAGTGGCCTTTTTGGCAAGATTGTCTTGGTCAAGATTACACGCATCATTATATTTCAATTAAGTGTTATCTAAATAATTCCTGCGAAATATAACACAATTTGATCACGCTTTTTTTCTACAAAAAAAATAACGCCCTTATATTTTGCCGATGGGTCGCAACCTAAGTAAAGTTAATTACTTTATTTCCTAAATTAAATTACTTTATTTTTTCATTATATTAATCTTAATGTTTTTTTTTAATTAATCGGCTTTTAGTATAAAAAGCCTCCGCGAATAAGCTAATTTAATTCAGTAAACCAAACATTCTAGTAGTCAACAAGCAGCAGTGCCAAGTGTTAGGTGTAGTGCAGATACCTTTTTTACTTTTAAAATTACCTTCTTTTCCCAAAGTAATCTTAATGTTTTTTTTTTAATTAATTGGCTAAGTTTTGGTATAAAAAGCCTCCGCGAATAAGCTAATTTAATTCAGTACACCAAACATTCTAGTAGTCAACAAGCAGCAGAGCCAAGTGTCAGGTGTGGTGCAGATACCTTTTTCTACCTTTAAAATTACATTCTTTTCCCAAAGTATCAAGCTTATGTTCGTGGGTATAATTATATGTGAGTATAAGCTCTTACCTTGGTGTTAAAACTGATATTGCTCTCCCTCCTTGCTAATAAGTACTATTATCTGCCTTAGCTTTATTTTACCATTGTTATTAATTAGACTTTACTTTTATTTCTTTTATTTTTAATTGTACTTTAGTTTTATTTTACTTTACAGGTGTTGAAACTTTGGTAGGGATAATCGAAACGGAACCCAACTTCTTAAGGTATGACGGAAAAATGGAAATAGAAGAGCTACTGAAAGAGGGACATGAACCAGAAGCGACAGGAGATCGCCTGGATCAGGTAAAAGGTTATTGGATCGGACGAGGCTACAGACCACCTGGACCAAGAAACCCAAAGGAAGTTAGAAGAGCTGCTAAGGGTATATGCAGATATATTCTACGGAAACGAGAAAACCCTGACAGCCACAAACAAAGTCGAACATCCAATCAACAAGAAGCCATATAGAGTACCATTCCACCAACGGGAAATTTTAAGAAAAGGGAAGAAATGTTAGAAGCGGGAGTGATAAAACCATTAAGCAGTCCATGGTCAGCACCTGTAGTTATGGTAGCAAAAAAATCTATTAAATGAGAACAGAAAGTACGTGTCTGCATCGACTACAGGGAGCTGAACAAAATTACCAAAAGGGACTTCTTCCCACTACCGAATATACAAGAAACTCTGGACACGCTGGTCGAGGCAGAATATTTTACGACACTAGATTTGGCTAGCGGCTATTGGCAGGTCAAAGTTGCCGAAAAAGACATAGAGAAGACAGCATTTACCACACCCGATTGACATTATGAAGGCCTTAGAATGCCATTTGGCTCATAAACAGTCCAGCTACGTGGCAGCGGCTTATGTATGCGGTGCCATCCCGATTTACCAACGATAAGAGTTTAGTCTATCTGGATGAAATCATCATTTTTTCTAAGACCCAAAAGGACCACCTGGTCCGGATGAAGGAAGTCTTTTAACGCATCAGGTACTCCAAACTAGCTCTCAAGCCAACAGTGCAAATTCATGAAAGCCGAGTCGGAATACCTAGGGCACATCATATCCAAAGATGGCGTTAAACCAGACCCAAAGAAGATGGCAGTCATTCAGAAATATCCAATTTCAAAATGTATTAAGGACATACGAGCATATTAGTTGGTTCTGCAAATAAAGAAAGGAATGATTCGCCAAATTAAGAGAGGAAGGAAGGAATCACCAAATGAAAAAAGGAATTATTTGACAAATGAAGAGGAATATGATACGGAAAATGAATTACCACTATCAACGCATAAAAAAAGGGAAAAAAAGAACTTTGTATAGCTGGCGTCAAAAGAATTTGGATCCTGTGCAATCAAAATGCAATTTAATTTTTTCTAATGTGGATAATCTTGAAATGACACCTTTGGAATATTTCGGACAATTTTTTAATAATAACATGATTAGCCATGTAGTTTATCACACTAATCTGTATTCAGTGGAAAAGATTGGAACATCCATAAACACAAATAGAGGAGATGGAACAGTTTTTGGGTATTCATATTCTCAGTGGGATTGTAAAAATGCCCAGCTATCGTATGTATTGAGCTGAAGCAACACGCTATAATCCAATTGCTGATGTAATTTCTCGAAATAGGTTCGATAACTTGAGAAGTTTTATACACCTAAACGACAATTCCAAAATGAAGCCACTTAATGATCCAAAATATGATAAGTTGTTCAAAATTCGCCCAATTGGTGATGCTATCAAATACAATTTATCCTTACTTGACCCGAAAGAGCATAATTCTGTGGATGAAATAATCATCCCTTTCAAAGGAAGAAGTTCCTTAAAACAATACATAAAAAAATAAGCCACACAAATGTGGAATAAAAATGTTTGCTAGAGCAGGATCAATTGGCGTTATATATAATTTTGAGATATTTGTAGGAAAAGGTACTGTAAAAAAAGGTATCAGAACTTGGCATTAGTGGTGATATTGTAATGCGATTTTGTAAAAACGTCCCGAAAGAAGCAAACTACAAGTTATACTGTGACAACTTTTATTCAGCAAGCTCAAACACATTGGGATTTTTGAAATATTGTTATATTGGCGACACTGAAATACAAAACGTGAAGTTAGCTTCATACGTTTATTAATATACGTTTTTTAATATAAACGTATTAGAGATATGGACCATATCTCTGGTTAATATGAACTATTTTTAACAGCCAACGTAACATAACCTATTATTGATCAAGTTTTGTCACATGCGAATGCGAAATTTTATATGTTATCTTTTATAATCTGTGTATTTTATTTCGAAAGATGAGTGAGATAAGTGAAAAAAAATTAAAAGGAAGAAAAGATCACCTTTTTCAAAGGAAGATGAACTAAACTTACCTGTCAGAAAAAGGTAGTATACAAAACCTATTTCTTAGGAGGCATTACGTTGCGGGAAAAGGCTTGAGGCAGGGTAGCTGTCAATTTTAATGCGGCTTTAAAAAAATACCGCAACACAGACCAACTAAAATCCAGGTTCGATAATCTCAAAACGAAAACAAGAAAAATCGTGGCCCAAGAACGAGCACATTTATAAGGCACTGGTAGTAGTGCTCCAATATTAATAAACAGTGAGCAGGTGTGATTGCGATGTTGTCAACCATGAGGTAATATTTTAAAATCAAGTATTTGAATATTAAATTTAAAAATTTTGTCATTTACAGGATAATGAAAAAAATTATGTACATATAATATTTTATGTACATATAATATTTTATAAATATTAATAATAAAAAAATACCCTTAGAAGTATTATACACATAAAAGGAAACTGTATATATACACATATATATACAGGGTGCACCAAGTTTTCTTTTATGTGTATAATACTTCTAAAGGTTTTTATTTATTTGAACAGCTACAAGTGAAATTAGAGGAAGATTGCATAATTTCAAGCGTATTAACATGAAATTTATAAATTGCATAAAAACTAAAAATCTTTCAAAACCAAAAATCGTTATAACTTTGTAATTCCTAGGATTTTTTAAACAAAGAAGTTTTACATGTAAACATACACATTAATCTACATTTTTATCCAATTTCTTGGCCACTATTACCATCACCATCTTTTGTTTTTATAATGGCTGTATGGCTACTTACGTAGTTTGATACATCATTTGATACCTTGATTTTTTTTCTACCTAATCATGTAAAATTCCAATATGGCGACCATAGGAAAAACAAAAAATGGTTGTGGTATCTCAAAATCCAGTAGGCGGAAAAAATCACAAATTGGATAAAAACGTAGATAAATGTGTATATTAATATGTAAATTTTACTTTTTTTTCAAAATTCCCAGGTACAACGAAGTTATAACGGTTTTTGGTTTGGAAAGGTTTTTAGTTTTTTTTAAATTATTTGAGAATTGCTGAATATTTTTTTAATTTTTAAATGCCATTTTAACCGACTTTTAATAATTAAAAGTTAATTAAATTATTAAGATACTTCTGTCTAATTTAACTTTTAGCTCTTCAAATAAAAAAGATACCCATACATGGGTGCACCCTATATAAATACTAATAAATATTTAAACTTTTCTTTAGATAATGTGGGAAAATATTGAAGCTGTCGAAGAGGTTGACAACAGCAAAAAAATAATAATTTTCGACGACACAGAGGAAATTGAAACCTCTGAGACAATTTTGGAGGTAAATTGCAGAAACAGAATTTAAAGTACATTGTATGGGAATTACATATATTTATTTTAGGATGTAGTTACCATCAATTAAGGGCAAGGGTAAGGGGAATTATAAAGATGAAGGACAGACATCTAAAAAAAGTATGTATTCTAATTATTAGATACAAAAAACTATATTCTTAATAAAAATTTTTTATTCACAGACTCCAAATAATTGGAGTAATTATGTCCCAAGGAAGCCCCTAAGTAGGAAACTTGGACCTACAACAGTAAATGCAAAAGAAGAGTACTATAAAAAAAGCGAAATTGATTGAAGAAGAAATTCAATATAGAAAAAAACAAAATTTAAGAGAAGAGGAACATAAAAAAACAAACATTATTAGAATTAGAAATTGAAATAAAAAGAGAGCAACTAAATAAATGAAAGGGAATTAATAAATAAATTAAAATGTTTTTCAATTAAAATAAAGACCCTTTTATTATTTTTATTCTATATTATGTATAAATTACATACAATACGTACATTTTGTAGTTTGGAAAAAATCTAGAAATTAGAAAAATGTTCTGTAATAATTAATTGCTGGGCATGATTTCCTGCCATTTCAGCAACATCATCGTCATTGTCTTCTTCCTCTTCATCATCTTCTAAAGCGCCAATTTCATCCAAGTCTTCATACCACTTAGGGGGAAGATTTTATTCATTTCTATGGCAATGTTATGTAACACAGCAGTTGCCACAATCACAGTCATTATAGTTTCCAACTTCAGCCTAAATGTAACACAGGAAACCATCGTTTCTACAAATTCATGCTTTAATCTAATAGTACAAGTTGGGGCAAAAGTAATGTCAAAGTGTAAATGTGCCATAATTTTTGCAAATCTCATCAAATGCCATTGTGCTTTGACATTTATGTTGTAGACAGATAAGGAATTAGTTGACAACAAGCAGTGGAGCGATACACACCTGAAGAACGCGGAATTATTGTTACTGCTTATTTGACCAATTTTCGGTCTGTTGTTTTAACGCAGCGTGAATTTCGACGTCGTTTTCCTCGTCGTCCTGCACCATGTGCGCGAACATTTAAGCGTTTGGCTGACCGTCTGCAAACTGGATCCACTAGAGATATGACAAGAAGGGGCCGACCCCGTATTGCTCGTTCGATCGAGAATGCTGTGGCCGAAGACGTCCACAAACATCGACGAGAAAACGATGCACACAATTTGGCATCAGTAGATGTTCGTTGCGTCGAATTTTGGTGAAAGACCTGAAGATGTTCCCTTACAAAGTGCAAACCGTTCACCAATTGCTGCCTGCTAACCGTCAAGTGAGGTTAACTTACTCCCATGCTCTGTTAAACCTGGTGCCAGAAGAGGAATGTTTTTGTATCCAAAATCATAAAGAGCGACGAAGCCCATTTTCACTTAAGTGTTTATGTGAACAAACAAACTTTGCGTTTCTGGGGCACGGACAATCCACATAAAATGCACGAATAGCCATTGCATCCCCTTAAACTGACTGTTTGGTGCGGCATTTGCAGTGAAAAAGTTATAGGCCCTAATTTTTTTGAGGACGCCAACGGCACTGCCGTAACCGTTACTGGTGAGCGTTACAGACAGATGTTAAACGAATTTTTTGTTCCGTAAGTTGCTGAATTGGGTCTCGAGCATTGTTGGTTCCAAGGAATTACGAATTTGGAGCCAGATTTTTTGCGAACCACAATTTAAAATGCCGTAAAACGAGCACAAATGTACATCAACTCAGGAGGTGGTCATTTGACCGATATCATTTTTTCAACTTAATGTCATCAATTTTACACTATGACTATGGCATTACTTTTGCCCCACCTTGTACAATACGAAGTGCAATCCTCTCAATGGACAAATAACCAAGCGACGTTACACCCTTTTGTAATTTATTTAAAAATAAATGATGTAATTCAATGTAAAACATCAGTGAACGTATTATACACACCATTGGGTCTTTTTATGCATTTCAAAAAGTTTTTCTTAAATTTGTTAAACAAAACTACCCCGAATAAAAAAAAAGAACCACTTTAGTGATGGAGCAGCTTCACAATACAAAAATAAAAAGTATTTTGTTATTTTATGTCATCATAAGGATGATTTCGAGTTGAAAGCAGTATGGAACATTTTCGTTACTTCTCATGGAAAAAACCCATGTGAAGGTCCAGTAGGAAAAATTAGGAGAATTGTTAGAAAAGCTAGTATACAAAGAACAGTAGGCAATCATATCTTAACCACTCAAGCAATGTTCAATTTGTGTAGAACAAATTCCTGGGATTAAATTCTCGCAGATATTGAAGCTGATGAGTCAGGGTTTATGAATTTAATTACGATTTGTTAACTTTGTTGTACAGTCGATAATTGAAAATAGATTTGTATACGACAATAGGAAGGATGGTTTTAAAAATTCAAAAAAGAAAAAGCGAGCATGGCATGATATAGATCTACAATGGGGATTAACAGGTAGGTTGAGGTTATTAACATTACGTTAGTTGCTTTATTTAAAATATTGAAGGGCATGAAGCTATAAAGTACTTCAAATAATTGCGAGAAAAATTTTGGCGCTTACAGCGCAAAGAAGAAATTGCCTCCAGAAGTGGTTCCGGCATAATTAAAAAGGAAAAATGGGAGTTGTATGAACTGTTTTTGGATAAAGTACAGAGACACTGCAAGTAAGTATAATTTTGCAATGCTGCTTTTGCATACTCTTTCTATTTGGCCAGCGGGATACACCATCTTCTATGAAAGAAACGCCTGCATTGTTGAGTTGTGGTGACATCACAATTGAGGTAGATGAAGGCATCCAGAGTTATGAGCTACGTAAAGCAAATTTATTATCACCTAAAGTGATCAAGATAAATATCGTAATGTAATAAGTTACAATATTAAAGACGACAAGGTTAATGGATTTGATACAACTAAGACTGATAGAGGTAAGTTTGCAAATCATGCGAGTAGAAAAGAAGGTACTTGTTGAACAATGGGAATAATGGCCATTGTTTCTATTGTTTTATTGTTAAAGTGACTTATGAATGACAGGCCTATGTTGAACAATGGGAATAACGGCCATTTGTTTCTATTGTTTATTGTTAAAGTGACTTATGAATGACAGGTTACAATTTTGACAAAAGCCGCGCATATATCAGGACGTGGAAGTCATGTGTACTCTATTGTTAAAGTGATTTAAGTATGACAGGTCATAAATTTTGACAAAAGCTTAGTCCACCTTATAACGTGGGAGTATGTGTTCTATTGTTAAAGTTATTGCGGCAAATGTTAACAAATACCTTTTTATTATTAGGAGATTACAAAAGCACAGGTGTAGCATACGGTTAAATGACAAGTAGAAACTTGTTTTATTTAAATATAAATTACATTTAAATTTTATTCAGTCTTTTCAAAACATTTGGTAGTTAAACATAAAAATGGATTTATCTTTTAAGCATACATTCTGTGCCCTTGTAAGCGGCCCAACATCTTGCGGGAAGACAGTATTTACTTTAAATTTTATAAAAAATATTAAAGAAATGTGCAATGTTTCATTTAAAAGTATAATATGGTATTACGATGAGTGGCAGCCCGGCTACGAAAATAAATTTAATATTAAATACACGCAGGGCTTACCAAACATGAGCGATTTTAACGGTTCCGAACCAACTTTAATTATAATAGACGACCTAATGAAAGAAGCGGGTGGTTCAATTGTGGATATATTTACAAAGGGGAGCCATCATAGAAATTTAAGCGTATTTTACATAACACAAAATCTTTTTCATCAAGGAAAAGGTCAGAGAGATATTTCATTAAATGCCCACTATATAATTTATTTTAAAAACCCTAGAGATAAAGCACAAATTTCACATTTAGCAAGACAAGTGTGCCCTGAAAATTCCCGGTTTATTCAAGACGCATATTATGATGCAACGACTCGAGCCCATGGTTATTTAGTACTTGATTTAAAGCAAAACACGCCTGAATCGCTTAGAATTAGAACAAATATATTACCCAGCGAATATCCTACTATTGTTTATGTTCCAAAGAAGGGCAGTAAACACGAATCATATACTGAATATTGTATTAACCCTGTATAGGTGTGTGAGACACCTGCAGACACGTTAAGACGTGTTACAAATACTTTTATATATATAAAAGAGCAGCTTATAAACTAAAATACCAGTCGTGTTAAAGTCTCAGTTTAATCATGAATATTGATTTTACCAAAATGTTTAATAAATGGTCTCATGTGTTTTGTAACACAAAGAGGTTTAAAAATAATTGTAATACAAACAAAAAAATTAAACCAACTAGTGCTGAAATAGATGAGAAGTGCAACAATATTCAAAAATACATAGAATATTTAAATAACATGGATGATAAGGTTGATAAATCTTTAAATAGATTTCCAACAAGGCAGGAAATACTACACGATTTTAAAAAGAGGGAAAATATTCAAGAGTGGATCAGATATAAGAACAATTTGGAAAAATATCGCAGTTTGAATAGCGAAACATGTCCATGGTCAAGTGATGCTGAAGAGGGTCCGGATACATGCGGTTGTCATAGTTTTTAGGCCATATCTTTTTTAATTATATATCTGTATTAATTTGCTTTGTATTAGATTATAAATAAATTTTTTCTTTTACATTTATTTATTTTTAAATTATTAATCCCTTTATTATAATAATCATATTTAATTATAAAAGAGGAGGGGGAAATATAATAATTAAATATATATTACATTGTTTTTTTAAAATAAATCACTTGTATTATAATGTCTGAGAGAGTCATTAAGCACGCAGCTGTTTTGAAGTTTTTAGCAAGAGCTAGTCCTAGACAAAGAAAAGTTATATTAAAAACTGCTGATAAAGGTTTAATACTCTGTCTTTGCGAGTGTGTTCATAATACAATAAAAGGAAAAGTACCGCTTACTTCAGCACAAAAACAAAAACTTAAACCCTATAAAAAAACTTTAAGAAAAATTGCAGAAAAAAGTGAAGTCCTTCAAAAAAAGAAGAAAATTATATTACAAAAAGGTGGAGCACTTTTACCCTTAATACTTATGCCATTAATAAGTGGTGTACTAAGTAGTTTATTTAATTAAAAAAAAAATGGAGCATGCCAAGAAGATGTTTTTAATAAATCCTGAATCCTTTCAAAAATTGCAAAACTCAACGGATATTATTAACCCTCATACGCTTTCACAATTAGATTTGGAGATGAAAGCAGTTTTAAACTCTAAAATAAAAGATAATGAGAAGTGGTCAAAGTATCAACAGGTTTTACAACGCTTTTTACATTTTTCCCATACTGCTAGAGAAGCGATTAAAGTACCACTGCTAGAACAAGAAATAGTTGAAGAACCCAATTCAACAAGTCCTGTTAAAAACGATGTGTTAACAGTTGAGCAGATTTTGGAGACTGTACCTAAAAATCTGAAAAATAAGTCATCAAAGCTTTTACAACATATTACTAAAAACGATTATATTCAATGGGATAAACAAGGGGTCGTTCGAGTTGACAATCAGTTAATAAAAGACTCAAATATTATTGATATTGTTAATGATATATTACGTAACCGTCAACCTAAGGATAAAAAAAATCAAGACTTAATAGTACAGAGTTTAAAACAAATAAACACTCCTATGGAATTTATTCAAAGTAAAGCATATCTAGATAATTTTATAAACTACACTACACCCACTAGGACCAATAGTGATTCTTCGGATAGTGGGGCCCTAGGGGCTATAAGTTTAAATAAGCAGCAGAAAACTCGTAGTAAATCATTAAAATCCAAGCAAGAACAACCCCAAAAAAAAAAAGCAGTGAAACTCCTAAGAGAAAAAAGAAAAAAACAAATTCACTATTGTCAAAGATAGATTGGGACACATATTAAAAGGATGGAAAATATATATTACAACCCAGCTCATACAGCAGCATTTTCATCCATCAAGAAAATTAAAAAAGCAAGACCAGACATTAGTGTTAGTGAAATTAAAAAATGGTTACAAAGCCAGGATACTTATACCTTACATAAACCTGTTGTTAAAAATTTTAAACGAAATAAATATCATGTAACAAATATTGATGATTTATTTGAGGCAGACTTAATTGATTTAAAAAGTTTAAGTAAATTTAACAATGATATTAAATATATACTAACAGTTATTGATGTATTTAGTAAATATGCATGGGTTAGAAAATTAAAAACAAAATGTTCAAAGGATGTTGCATTGGCCTTTGAAGATATATTTAAAAGCTCTAGTAGAATTCCTATTAATTTACAATCGGATAAAGGTGGTGAATTTTTAGGGCCTGATACAAAAAAGTGTTTTAAAAAGTATGGTATAAATCATATACAAACTGAAAATCCTGATATAAAAGCTAGCGTTATAGAAAGATTTAACAGGACACTTAAAGAAAAAATGTTTAAGTATTTTACATATAATAATAGCTATGAATACATTAATGTGATAGATACTTTAGTAGATACTTATAATAAAACAAAACATAGTACGATTAAAATGGCTCCAATTGAAGTTAACGAAAATAATATATTAGAAGTATACAATAATGCTTTTCGAATAACACTTAAAAACGCCGATAAAAATAAATTTAAACTAAATGATTTTGTTCGAATTTCCAAGTATAAACATATTTTCGAGAAAGGTTATGAATCTAATTGGACTATGGAAATATTTAAAATTGTAAAAATTATAAAAAGACACCCGCATACGGTATATAAACTTTGTGATTTACAAAATGAAGATGTAAAAGGAATTTTTTACGAATCAGAATTGCAAAAGGTTACTTATTCAGAAGATTCAGCTTTTAAAATAGATAAAATACTAGGAAGACGATTAAAACGTGGCATACGCGAAGTACTTGTCAGTTGGAAAGGTTATCCAAAAAAATTCAACGTTTGGTTGCCGCAAGAAAATCTTACTGCACTGTAAAGGTAGGAACGCATTAGGCGGTCGCGGTCCCGTCGCATTGCGAGCTGAGCTAGTCTCGACCGCGCTCGGCATAGATCTTTTCCATGTATTTAAACGTATGCATTTGCACCCGGTGTTCTAGGGCTATGCTCGCTCGCGACGCGCTCTCCTTCGATATTTTCGAAAGAATCTCGAGAGAACGCGATACGATCGAGACGAGCTCTGGAACATCTAGTGCGTGTGTTTTTGATGCTCGCGTACCATGCTAATTATACGAATCGTTTATAATCGAAGTAAATCGGCAACATTCGTGGCTACACTGATACAATCAAAAAACGAAAAAACGAATATAAACAGCGCCAGTGTAGCCACGAATGTTGCCGGTTTTGTCAGCTGTTTCACACGTGCCTGAGTATGGAAGATGAAAAGTTGATTATATTAGTTGAAAAATATGCAGAATTATATGATACTGCTAATAAAAACTATGCGAATCAGCAAAGAAAAGACAATTGCTGGTTGGAAATTAGTGGTGAAATGAAACAAACAGGTAAGCTCTATTTAATTATTTATTTATTGCTTTTGCCAGACATTTTATATGACATTTAGAACATTTTCTTGACGACCTGCAGACACAATGTCCATTTGCCAAGGTACTGAACCCTCAGGTGAATTAAAATATTTTTCTCTAACATTCATTGCGCTCTGTCCAAAGTTGCCTCCAATATTTGAAATATTACCTAAACCTTTCGGTTTCCGTGCATTGCCAGACAATTGAAAATTATCACTTTTACAAAAATTATGCAAGCAGCAGGTAGCAAGTACAACAGTTTTTATATTTTTTGGTTTCAATCTCAACCAACGTTGGTAAATGCCAAACTTTTGAACTAGTATTCCAAATGCATTTTCGGAAACCCTACGTGCTCTTGAGATAATTAAAAATCCTTTTTCGGTCATTTTGATCTGCAATAAGGGAAGATCCAGGATAAGGACGTAACAAATATTGTTTTAGTGGGAAGGCTCATCGCCAACTATAACGTGTGGTAAAGGTTCTAGTATACCCGGAAGAATCTTAGCATCTGGTATATCTAAAGTATTGTTTTGTAAACCTTTTCCCAAAACCGATCGTGAGAAAATTCCTCCATCACTATTTTTTCCATAACTGCCGATATCCACAGCAATGAACTTGTAGTCTGCATCAACCAAGGCCAATAAAACAATAGAAAAACTTTTTTTGTAGTTGAAGTATAGTGACCCACTTTTTTTTGGTGCTTGAATAACCACATGTTTACCGTCTAATGCACCTATGCAGTTAGGAAAATTCCAAGAAGTACTAAATTGTTTTTCGATTTCTTTCCACATTGCCTTGGTTGGTGTGGGCATCACTAATGGGAGAAGTTTTTTGCACATTGCCTCACACGTTGAAATCACTATTTCTTTAACTGTTGTGTATCCCAGTCTATAGCTGTTTCCTATTGTTTTAAAAGTGTCTCCTGTTGCCAAGTACCTCAAAAAAGAAAAAACAAATTGAGGTTCACAATTGCTACAAATTCAGTGGCGGCGCCAGGGGTGGGCGCGGTTGGGCGAGCGCCCAACCCAAATTATTCCCGCCCAACCGTTCGCCCAACCTGCTAAACTAAACATTTGAGCAAAAAATTGTGGAAGGTCGTTTAGTGGCTTAAAAAGAATAAAAAACTATTTAAGGACTACAATGTTACAAGAGAGGCTCACAGATTTAGGAACAGGCCCGGCTCCAGACATTTTGGTACCCCGTGCAAAAATATTTTTGCCGCCCCCTTCTTTTTAGTGCCCATTAATTAGGCATAATTTCTAAAAAAACCTACTTTAATAATATCGTCCTCTTGATGCTAGAAGAACACATTTATAAATAAAAATATTCTAAAATTGGTATGTATACATACTTATAAGTATTTAGTAGAACTGGATTCGTAAAATTTCGAGTTATGCAGTTGTAGCATTATGGGGAAGATAAAATTAACAAAAAAGTTTTAAAAATTATTATTTCATTACAAATAAATAAAATATCATATATTAAAAGTGGTGAATGCTGTGATATTATATTTAACTTTTTGCTGCCTTTCGATTTTTGCCGCCTTTCGAATTTTGCCGCCCCGTGCAGGGGCACGGCTGCACGTACCCTGGAGCCGGCCCTGTTTAGGAATATTGTACGTTGAAAAAAGTATTGTAAAAGCAATGGACTTAGATATAGTTGTAGATTCTTTTGCAATTAAACATAATAATAGAAAAATAGCGCTTTCCTAATCGACCTAAACGTTAGACTGTCTGTTA